TTAAACTGAACTGCTGAAGGAAAAGACATTGATTTAGGCTTCCATAACGGTGTACCATCCATTTCCTGTCCTCTCAAGTTCTGTACTTACTTTTTTTTCTGGCTGTTTTTTCATAGCAGACATCATTTAGCAAAATATTTAATTTCATACCTAAAGCTTTCCTTAACCAGGCAAATATATGGCCTGATTTCAGCAAAAACACTCACTACCACTTAATAAGACATAAGCACATACTTAAGAGCACTCTGTTTGAAATACCTACTTTCCTTGATCAGAACAATTCTCTGAATTTCTGTAAATTTCCAGTCCAAAAGGACAGCTGAAAAGATAAGGGACAGAATTGAGAGGACCACAGCTTGAGGACTGAAGGTGATCCACAAATGCTGAAGCCAAGACCATTAAAAGACACAAGCAAAACAAGATTTACATTGCGAGATAATCTACTGCATTAAACCACCCAATTTAATCAGAGATAAACAGGCAAGTTTTGGCATGTAAGCCCTTGTTCAAGTCACCTGAAAAAAGTTTGGAGAATGTAACCAGAATAGGACTCTGGCTGAGAGCTTTTATTCTTTTTTCCAATCACATCACTTAATCTAATAAAAGACTTTTTGCGCAAATTTAGCTTTGATGTTATGCAAAAGGAGACAAATGATCGGCAGACAGAAAACAGAGGAGAGACTAACCCAGGATCACCCCAGAGCCAGCAGGAAGCAAGTCTTTACAATTGAAGACCGAGAAAAATCAGCAAGTTTCCCATATGCGGTCCCAGGAGTGTATGCTCTCCATCAAGGGAAGCCAGAGACCGTGATCCTAGTCACAATGCTAGCCCTTGGGCTACTGGATGCTCTGGGGTGCAACTCTTGCTTTCATATGCAGTGCAAGCACCTCAGGAGAGGAATTGTAGCTGAGGATTTCAGCACAGCCGACAAAGGTAGTCACACAGGCATTCACATCCTGAACATCCTTCACTAATGAAATTTTGTCACAGCATCTTACAAGTGTTAAACCCCGCGGCAGTTTGAAAGTGTTTCCTTAGTAATCATAGTTACAGGGCAAACTAACACAAGAAACCGTGTAATCCTTCTAGGAAACATCAATTTCCTCTTCTCACCTCTCTTTCCTTATTGCCACTCTTTTGTTCCAGGACCTGCCTCTTCAGAAGATTTTTGTGATTGTTCTGGTCACCCTGCCCTGACTTGGTAGGCTTTATTCCTACAGCCCTCCTGGGCAAGCAGAGATAGTTAATGCACAACTGAATAATGAGGGAAGTATCTCCTAGCTTCATACTTAACCAAGCTTTGCCACCTCATTTGTCACCTCTAGTCACCTCATTTTCTGCACTGATTAACAAACAATCCTTCCCACAGCTTCTCCCCTCTCCGAATCAGCTGCTGCCTGCTCATATCTTCTGTCAACATGGCTTTTAAGCTGCTCAGAATTAGTCTGGGTTCAGGCTTAAGCCTTTGGCAAATTAGCTGTAGCCTGATAAAGACAACATGGTTGTCCGGTCCCAATTAAGATCTCATGTCAAGCACTCCTGATGCTCTCCTCAGATAACATGCATAAGCTAATCACTGTCATTTTCCTTTTCCTGTTTTTCCTTGATTTTCTCTATATATACTAATAATATTCTGTTTGCTAAATTAGGAAACTCGTATTATTTAGAGTGTACCTTTCTTCTCCATGGGTTGCTCTCCATGACAGAGATTTGTTGTTGGAATGTTCTCAATTCTGTCCTTGAACACACTGCGGTGGTAACACTACTGGTGAGCTACCAAAAACACCAGCTTTCTACTGCCAAATGGAAATTGCTGTCCACTGTCAGATATGAGAGATAATGAGTAATAGACAAGCAACAGAAACATTAATGGTTTGTTTTTCACTTCTTATGTAGACCCTCTGGTTTTAGCTATCTTGTTAAAACTAGTATTATCCTTAAAAATTAAATTTTTAATCTGTATAGAACACTTTGTTCCTGGGAAAGCATGAATGAGGGGGATTAAATTATATCTGTACTATACTTTTCTTGGTGATTGGTAATTATATTGTCACTCATGATGCTATTCATTGCACTTAGCTGCATGGAACTGGGGAAAAACATGACATTTCCCCCTGTACTAGACATAATGAGAATCTATGGCTTTTCACAGAATCATACATCAGCGAGGTACAGGAGTAAACAAAACGTGGGAAAGTTGTATTTGGAACAAAGGATTTTTTCCTTCAAGCCATAGCGTAAAATATTTATATTTCCCTTGTGAAATATAAATGGGGAGCTAACAGGTGCAATGCCCAACTCAGGCGAATGGCAAACATTTATTTTCTATCTGTTGCTTCTCCAACCAACCTGTCACCCAACAAAGCATCGTTTTTGAAAAAGGCCCCATACAAATTCCAGCAGGTAACTCTGGCCTTTAGAAGAAGAGAGCAACCATTTTTTCTTGTCTCTGGTTTTGGATGAACAATCTGAGGTATCTTTAAAAGGGCACAGACTTAAAAGAACTGCAAAGTAACCATCCTCTTGAAATAATACACCAGTCAGCAAACATTCTTTATTTATGCTTCCTGAACACATGGTCTTACACTCTTCTACCTATCCATCTCCTCGAAACACTAAGCGTCTAACCTTGTAGTGCCTGTATGCACATCATTAGGATGAACATACTTCTTTTGGACCCAACTTCACAGCAACCGAGTGTATTTTCCTAATTCTTGATTGGAATCTGCCTGGCATCTTGAAAAGCTCTGATGCAGAAGGTGGCGTCCAAATGTAATGCTTTTATTAAAACAAAACCCAAACCCAACAAAAACGCATCTTTTTGGCAGAGCGGCATACTGAAGAAACTGTATCATTAATACGTTGTGAACAGTTTTAAGCAGGAAATTGTGGTGTTATTTCAAAAGTTCTCATTTCCACAAATCATAAATTTATTTAATTTGTTGTAGAATTTGACAAATGCACATAGTTAGTTAAATCTGGAGAGGACTAAGGCAGTCTACAAAGAATCAGAGTAACTATGTTCCCCATAGGCTTGTTTGCACCCAAGTTAAAGTTTTCTGCATCCAAAGTGGTGCTACAAAACATTTTGGCCTCAGGGAACCGTTATCTCCTGCAATGTATGCTTAGGCAGAAATTTCCTGACATTGTTCACATCAGTATCAGTGTAATCCAACATTGCACAAAGTCTTTGCTTCCACTTTTAATAAATGTCACTTGCCATAAACACAGTACTTTGCAGACTAGCTGTGCAGAGCTTTCAACAGTGACCTGTTTTTTGGCACTAACTGGTATATATTAAATGCTTTTGGGAGGTTATTTTCTCTTGTCAGGGTCACTGTGACTTGTATTTTTTAAAGAAATACCATCCCCCTGGTAACAGTCTTCTTCCTTCCCTTTCACAATGCGTTGGCAAACCAAAGCTCAGGAGACATTTTGCTGTATTACGCAAGCATTTAACTTTGTTGTTTTAATCTTTATCAATTGATGTAAAATCAGCACGCATGAAGTGAGAAGATCAACACAGGGAAGTACTTACATTTTTAAGAATGCAAAAGGAAAACAGAGAAAACAGACAACCCAGAACAGATGCTGCCAAAATTATCTTTTTCATCAGTTAAATGATGTAAAATTGCCATGGAAAATTCAAGACGTGTTCAGAGCCAATATTTTAAGTGTTTTGCTCTTATCAAATAGGTTTGGTATTTTACAAGCAAGGAAATCAAGGTTTAAACTTAGAAAACGCGGCGCTGTTATGCTCCTCGGTACAATTTTAATGTGTAAAACCTGCTGATGACCACTGCCACCCTCCCTGACATTAGAATGGCGCCTTGGTGTGACGTTAAAGGATGAGCATCATTACTTCAATCTCCCACAATAGTGCTTCATAAGACAATGCTTTTACAATGCTTTGGGGAAACACTTGGCGGAGTTTGAGGACTAATATTTTTTTTAAACTGTTTTTTTCACTCTTCTGGTCCCAGACTGATCTGCAATGAAAGGGAGGCAGGGCTCCCTCCTTGTTGGCTCTCGCTCTCAGGGTGGCAGCTGCAGCCCAGGGAAGCACAGATGGGCACGGTATGTCTCAGCTCCTCTCCGTGACGCTTTGTACACGGAGTCCTCTGCTGTCTGACAAACTCCCCACAGCCAGAACATAGGAACAGACTAACATTACCGACCACGTTGCGATAATATTGGGAATAACAAACTTTGGTCAACACTTGGCATTGTATGCTATTAGAATCACAGTGTTGCTACAGTACCAGTATATTGCTACTTCTAGGGAAGAGTAACGCAAAATGTTATTATACTAGCTATATTTCATGAAAGAGGGAACAGGACCCCACTATCTGCTTATAATCCACATTTGTATGTCACACAGCATATTCAAGATCACACTGACAAATTAACACTACATCTGCATGGATAACATTTAGAAGGGACAGAAGAACAGATTCTGCTCAGAAAGCAATGTTTATGTTCTTATACTGCAAAGTGCCCATGGTCAAACTGACACAGTAACTTTTTATAAGAGCAGCAAGCCTTTACACAGGTGTGAAGTTAATGGAAACATTAACATTTCTTTATCAGATTAATTTGTAAGTCAGTGTTTTCAGCCAAAAGGCTTGAAGTAGGCTGTGTACCCAGGATGGTTAAGTAGACAAGAGGAATTCCACGAAGGATCAATGTACGCCTCAACTGCGGCCTGAGACTTTCAGACTCCATTTCTCCTGTTATGCTTGCTTACCTTTTCCTCCACACCACTATGTTCTAAGGATTGTTATAAAAGTATATACCATCCCAGTCAAATGTTTTGACACTTTCTCAGTGTTGGACGCTCTGAATCAGGAGATACTCAAAACTTTTGTTTAGGTGGGAAGGTTCTGATGCAGTCTAATGCCTTTCATTACTCATGGAATTGTTAGGGATGCTCCCATGGACTGTAGAGATCAATGTGAGGTCTCATGCAACCTTAGTTGCAGTATTCCTTAGAGCTTTCATGCTGCTGACCACCCTTGTATCTCCACTATAGGGTGTATATGCAGAGTGTGGGGTGTATTTTTTGGAATCATTCACTACTGAGATATTGTACTATCAAGCAGGATTTTCTCTCAATAATTCAATATATATCTGCACTCAGTAAGATTTCAGGATTTAAAATACCTGCCCTTACACAGAAGTACACAAAGCCTTATTTATTGTGCCAAGACAGCTTTTTCATACACTTCAAATTTGTACTGGATGCCATTCTCTTCTTGAATATCAGCAGGGACACCTGGGTACCTGGAGAGAGGGGAGAAGACAAAGTAAAAGCCAACCACTAGATAAAAAGATAATCGTTAAGTCACCTGTAATTTATCCAATCAATTGGAAACGAGAGTTGTTTGAAAAAGGAGATGAAAATGCCATCCTTACAACAGGTATATGAAGTACAAACTATTTTTAGAAATCATGTTAACAACTATCAGCAACTTGTACGCACATCTTTTTAAATCAAGAATGCATACTCTGATGCAAAAAAAAAAAACCCCACCTTTTTGGTTTAATCAAAAAAACCCAGCATTTTTATTAAAACCTCCAACTCATTATTTAAAAAGGCAGGAAAGGTAGAGAACATACAGAACACTTCTGGGATTTTTTGCTTTGTTTTTCCTCAGATGGATTAGAGGAAATGCTAAGGTAAACATTTCTTACAAGTCTACGACAGCTTCTTAAAGCAGCTGACTGCTACTACACAAAGTGTTCCTCTATAGTTCAGATTTACTAAAACAGGTTTTATTAATAGATATTTTCAAAAATCTCTTCAGCTCCCTGTGACAGAGTAAGGATTTTGCATGAATAATGTTGACTTTGAGGGAGAAAGAAATTTACAATTTTATTTGCTAGGTTTGACTCTATCGGGTTTCCACTTTAGTCAGGGAATTATTTGCTATTTTATAAATTAATGCTTTAAGGCCAAATTCTGATTTCAGTACAGTGGCCAAAATCAACGTATAATTGAGAAACAGCCCAGAGGAAGAGAAGGGATCTGTGGGTCAGACATCAGGATACTAAAGTGGGCTCATGGTATGGCACACCACAGTTCAGAACAGGTTGAGTTAAAAAAGGTGACTCGTCATCCCCACTCACCTTGCTTGTCTCTCCCCCATCCTTCTTTCCTGCCCCTACCTATTCACTCCCACTTCAGTGCTAATCCATTCCTGTGCTCCGCACAGAAAGCTTGACCTGCCATACTTTCTATTTCTTCCATTGCTGGTCTGTAACCAGCTGGGAACCAAATGGGAGCAGCAAGAAGAGGAAGAGGCCCTCTCCTTGCTGTTTTTTGAGGCAGATGTTTGAATTTTTGACACCTCCCTACTGCTTGTTGGATGCAATCTCATTGGAGAGGACACAAAAGTATGCCAAGGATAACACAGAAGAAACCACAGTGAATGGCAGAAACTTACAGTTCAATACTTCTTCCTACTAAGTTTGTTAGGAAGCAGTAATTTTCTCAAGAGAAATCTATAAAGGCTCAACCCTCCCTGCTCAAACCTATTTAATTCGTCTTCAGCAATTTATCAAGACATTCAGAGGCTAAATACCATTGACTAACAACATAGTGAGAGTTATGAAGCTTAGTAAATATTTGAGTAATTCTAAAACGAGAAACAATAAGAAAGTTACTTTTCAATCAAACTGACAAATGCAATTCTTTACTGTAAAGTGTAAAGATTATGGGAAGGTTGAAGAACACAGCAAGTTCCAACAGCCTCTCTGTGCTGAGTGTGGTACAATTCCAGGTTTTAAGTAAAATATGACTTTGGGAAAAAATACAGTGAAAAGCACCTGTAACTCAAAACAGAACATGGCTTTAAAAGGACCCTTACACATTCAAAGTCGATTATTAAATCTTCCATCTGAACATAAGACTCGTATGCATCTTGATACTTACTCTGTGAGAAGTTTGTAGTCTTTGTAGTTGATTTCTGGAAAAAATGTGTCACTCTCAAATTCCTGCAAAATTCTTGTCACAAACAATCGATGATTAATTGGCTTCTCCATTGCTGCCTTTAAAAACAGCAGAAATGATTAAAATTGAGTTGTTCCCTGTAAAACAGCCCAACCAGGCATGCATGAAGTAGTGTTGTGTATTAACATTTTTAATATTCTTGTTTTATAACACTATTTGAAGTCTGTAAGACACTATCAAGTGTAAGTTCTTACTAGCTTTCTTTACCAACTCTCCAAATTGTTGTTCTGCCTGCACCAGACATCACCATGGCAGCATTCAAAACGAACTACGAGATAGAAGTCTTTTCTTACTTTCTACTTGTACATTGCACACCATATATGTTATATAAAACTGAAACTCAGTTACTATTTGATATATATTTCAGGATTTACGCAACGCAGTGAAAAGTGAACTCTAAATCTCCTCTTTTGGACTCTGCCCAAGAGCACTGTCTAAAGGGGCAATTTCATCTTGTGCCTGTTCCACCTGGTAAGTGGCAGCAGTACCTATTCTCAGAGCTTGGGACATCTGACAGAGACTAAGAAAAAAATACGAGTAGTCCTGTGAGAAGAAGGGAGCAGTATGGCCTAGTCTCTGAATCCCACCTCTTTGAAAGACAGTAAGCTTTACTTAGTGGGAGAGGCCGACACCTCAAGGTAATGTGTTCCAATATTTAATTAATATCACTGCTAACGATTTACAATGTATTTTTAGTATGCCGTAGTCTGCAATTGCAGTGATCAAGTTATCTATCGGTTTAACTTCAAAGTGGGATTTCTGGATTATGGCAAAGTGAAAGTTATATGAAAACAACAACAAAGAAAGTTTCCAAGATCATTGGATGAAAAAAGTTATGAAGACACTTTTTAGGTGAGCTCCTCACTAACAAATTCACACAAACTCAGGAGTTAAAAAACCGATGTTTTGTCTCCAGATCAGACTGAAAAGGCACCTCTTCCAGACTTTCTTGGCACTAAAATAACCCACTAAAAGCTATACTGGCGCCTGGTTACAATATATTTTTGAGATGCTTACAGCTGTTTCTCCCTTTCCTTTAAATTGGCAATGAGCAATGTTCTTTGTTAAAGGTGATTCACCATGCAGCATACTATTAGGTACTACTTTGACAAGTACAAGAACCAAGTAATAGCAAATTTAATCTGATAAAATTAATTGGTATCACTGCTGAGAAGTTAGTTTCCAGAAAAGCTGCTCTATTACTAGCGAATGGCTTAAAATGGAAAGGGTAACTCACAGCACACCTGAATCCAACAGCATCGAACTGGTGTTCATCTAGTTTGTATATCAGTATGCAGTTTTTAATTTCTTTAAATGAGGGTGGGAGGTAAGAGGAGAAGTATACAGCTGCAGAATGCCAGGACAGTAATAATCTGCTACACAAATAAAAACATACCATGTTCTGTAAACAGAGATATTTTTGTTTTGTAGTGGAGGAATAAATCAACTTCCTATCCAGCTCTATGGCAATTCAGCTTCAGCAAGAGCTGTGTACCACCAAGACAGGCCAGGGAAGAGCATACAAAGTGACCGACCATGGATATTGCAAAGAAAGCTGAACTGAGCATGAAGGGGACCAGAGGGAGACCTCCGTTCTAGCTAAATGGTTCCATTACTTGAGTGAACCAACCAGCTGTGTAACTGCCCGCAAGTCAATAAAGTGCGAACGCTTCCTGAGTTAATCAGACCAGCTCTGGGGGTCTGCGTGTCTATGTGGCCCGTGAATACTAAACAACAAACAAAAAGAAGTGGGTGAAGAGCAACAGCCTTGAGCTGGTTTCAACTCACATGTTCCTTCTCAGCAGCTGGGAATTCCCAGCGTCATGACAGTGAGCGTACTACAGCGGCAGGCAAGGAGAAACACTTTGTAAAGTGATTCGACTTTATATTTGAGTTGCTCTACTCCACTAACTGTAATTTTCACTTGTATTAGGACTTAAGTACATAGTTGAATCATGTCATGGGGTGGCATCCTGACCTGACCTCGTCCTGTCCCCATGGTCCCATTCAGTTGTCCCAGGGCTATGTCTGACTCCGATTACCTTCATGGGGCCTGATCCCACCCTATGGACCTGCTTCATCACCATGAGACCTGGCTGGTGTGCATTACAAGTTGTTTCAGAAGTATTATATGGAGAATTAATCTTTTATAGATCTAATCACCAAACCACTGTAAACTAGTGGGCACAGCAACCAATTGCTGTAGGAGGGACCAATTATTTCTAGTCATTTAAAGATTCACAGGTTTTAGAAGGACACACACACACTGCTTCTGCTTTCTTACCTTCTACCAATTACGTAAAATAAGTAAAACAGCCAAAGTAACTATGTGAGGCACTTATTTTTCAAGTGTCTTCCTAGACAACAACATTGCCAATCCAAACAAAATATGAGAGCGTTATAAAAGAGAAAATTTCAAAATAAACAGTCTGTTTATTTGCATTCTGTTTTTCAACCCTTAAAATGTATTGGATCATATGGGCAAGATGCATTTTGAAGCTACAAGAGTACCAAAAAAAAAAAATGTATAAAAAATTTTTTTTAAAAAAATCTTACAGCTGAAGATCTCACAAAGTTGTAGATCTTACCTGGGTAAAAGGACTTGCCTAAGTTTTGGCTACTTGGACAGTTGCAGTGACAACCAGGAGAATCAACATCCTCAAAATTCCTTCCTTCCCACACTGCTAGCGCTCAGCTTAGTGAAGTAGGGAACAGTCCCTCCTTCCCAAGCCACTAAGGCAAAGCCTAGCAAGGGAGGGGACACTGTGGTAGCTGCCACCACTGGTTCTCTGTCAGGGACAAAGGCAAGCGTAACAAAAATCTTCTATGACCGTTATTGAAAAACCTGTCCATTTTGCCCTTTCAGAAACAGATACACATTTTAGTCACTAGACTTTTCTGTGTGTTAGTCTTAAAGGAGGGTCTTCTAAATCTTTTCCTCTGTGATCTCTGCAGGCATGTTTGGAAAAGAACTTAAAAAGCAACAACCTTTCAGAGCTGCATGATTTGTGTCTGCAACTGACTCATCTATTAACCTTTTTTAGTCATTATTTTTTCCCAGAGGAATGTCAAATCAATATGTTTGTTCACAAGAACGAGCACACAAAAAGCTTACTTAGGAGTAACAGCGATATTACACCTTTCTTTCGACATTAAAAATCTCCTGAGTTTATTTTGAAGACTGTACTGGAAAGGCTGGATATGTCCCTCTCGAGTCTGTGAAAGTATAAAGATGATAAATTAAAGAAAATTCTTAAACTTCTAATGGAATTTTTTAGTTAATCCACTAGTCCATTGCTAATACCATAGATCTGTTTTCTCTAATTTTATTTATAACTAGGTAAGAGCAAGAAGTATTGGCCACTGGAGGCATGACTACAATAGTCACAGATATATTTTTACAAAACATAAATCTCTATGGGGAGGACAATGCTGTCAGCTGTAATGCTGTGACCCTGCCACTACTATATAAGAGAGATACTAGGGAATCGCACTAAGAGTGCTCAAACCCTTTCTCAAAAAACACCTAGAAGGTCATAGGAATACAGGAAAACTGTCTTCCCGTTCCCATCTTCTTGTCCAGAAAACCACACAAAGCTACACAACTACAAATGGGAAAATTCTCCTGTAAAGAAGGATTCTGTGACATTACGCTAATGAAGAGAGTTACATTTGCTTATATACCAGGAAGACAGTAACCTTCCTTGGAAACAACTGCTCAGGACCATAAATGTGCATAATCGAATAACATTATCATGAGCTTAGTGGGACAGGGAGAGAACATGTGGTCAGTGCAGCCACCACAACCTTCAGTCTTCACTTTACATAAGCTAATGCTACCAGCTTTCAAAAACATGAATAGGATTAAGCCATACTAATTAGTTCACTCTAAACCAGAACTAGCGAAGGAGCCAATGCAGCACTCGGCTTTTTGCACTGGTTGCTCCCAGAGCAGTATAATGCTTTGGGCCTGCAGTGTGACGTCCTCCACGTCAACAGCATCAGGCAGCTCAAGGAGCCTGCTCTTTGCAGCGTTCTTTGAGAGCGCTGTTCAAAGCGAGCAACAGCACTGTGACCTGCAAGAGTGGAGCATGTGAGCATGGAAAAATGAGCTGTTTGCGTAGCTCCCTTGTACGTGGATCTCAATCCTTGGTCACGTCCCAGACTAAATGCAATACTTCAAAAACATGGTAATATACATGTCGGTCTCTATTCCAACAGGTATGCAGCTTAAAACCGTTCCAATAGTTACGCAGCTCAAAATCACTTTGTCTTATATGCATGGAAGGAAGAAAAATTATTTCTTTTATAGTTTACAGCAAATTCAGACATACTAAAATGTAATCCTTAAAATGTACATTTTAGTATATTAGTATTAGCTAGTAATGTTTTGGCAGGCTTGAAAAAAAAATCACAATAAAACCAGCGACTCAAATCGTTAATACTTCTCTCTTTTAAAGAAGTGATCCTGACGGTACAGCAAAGATTTGAAGCTTAGCAAATGTGGCACTCACAACCCACTCAGGGCATTCAGAACGCAGTGAAGCTTATACGCTTAGTCAAGAAACTCTGTTTAAGAGGGTAATTAATCATCTGCAAGAGACTTGCTGCACTAAATATGAATAACAACTTCATAATTCAGTAATTTTGAAGAATGAAAGGGGGGGGGATTACCAAACACAATATGTCAAATACTACTACATAGAAAGACACCTGAGTATGAATATTAGATAAAATTTTCCCTTAGGGATTACTGGAAATTTAATTTTCCAGCTCAAGCCTCTTTGTTGAAGAATTTCCCCAAATGCTATTTATCACCAGCATCTATTTTCTGTTATGGCCAGCCTAGATATTAACTAACAGTAAAACCAACAAAACTTCTTATGAAAGAACTTTTTGTTCTGTTATGAAATCACAAGTTTCTTCTACAAATTTAATACATGAATACAATTCTGTACTTAAGCAATGTGACCTTGAGTGTCATTGTTTGCTTCTGTGGCATTGAGAAAGCAACAAGCTCAGTAGGAACATATAAATTAGAAGAGACAATTTTAAATGTTCGACATGCTGTAGGAAAAACTGTTTTATCAAGGTGAAAACCTGTTTGACATATAGCCTGTTTTGGTGTTAGTAAAGAGGCCTTGGTTATGAGTACCTGAGTCATAAATTTTTCAAATTTTTTTAAAGTGTTGTTGCTAGTTTTTGGGTGGTTTTTTTTTTTTTCCCAGTGGTAGGTTCAGTATTAGGGATTTGTGCTTGACTATTTTTACAAAGCAAGATTTATATTAAACACTACAAACAACATGTCATAAGACCATACCATGCACATAAGTTAATCTACACCTGGTTTTGTGTTTGTTTTTTTTTCAAGTCCCTGTTTAATATTCGTGGATGTGCTGGACTTACAGTTCCTATTCCTAGCAAAATCTGAATGTTGTTTTTCATCAGTTTAAAACACACAGTTTAAAACCAGTTAAAAGTGACTGATGTAATTTATACTGAGCAGAGTCCCACAGGATTTTCAGGTAGCGCTATTTTTTAGAGTCAAAGCCAAGACCTGAACCTCTCAATTAAGACAAAATACCTCCACACAGAGTGCATCTACATTAGTGCCTTAACTCAGAACAGAAACGTGGTTTTGAAATTAATCTTCCAATTACCCTCACTCACCATCCTTTAGTTGTACCGGGCAGCAATCTTGGTGTGCATAAATTAAATTTCTTGGGGATGAAACCGAGGCAGAAAATCCGCTCCATGAACATGTCTGATAAACTCCAACAGCTAATAGGGACTCAAGGGCCAGAACCAATGAGTGAGTCACCACAAATTTTCCAGCACACAACAAGGACTTAGGAGCCAGCAGACGGCTCTCAAAACATCAAGTGCTCACGCAAATCATGGAGTGCTTCTCATGACGCATAACGGCTTCGTAATTGCTGTGACCTACTGACCACTGCTGGGCTGCTACACTCCTCCTTCCTCATCCATACAATGAATACCAACATCAGCTCCTTCTGGAACTCAGAAGATCCAGAAAAGTGCAGAAGATCTAGTACAGCATCCCGCTGAGATCCACAGAAATGACACTTGTTAACCTGTGATGTAAGAAGTCCAAAAGCTTCCCTGGAGGCAACAGTATTACCCTGTGGCTATACCAGGAAATTACAAACCTGATGAGGTGATCAGTGTCAAGTCAAATTTAAGAAGATGAAGCCTGCATGAGGTTTTCAAACCCCCAACGGACTGTGGGAGCCGTTTTCAATCTTTTCTGCTCTCACTTCTTACTACCACCATACTACTTGGCTCTCCCTGTCCCCACCAAAATGCCTACTATGTCTTGCTGCTCTGCCTTTTCCTGTTGCAGAGGTCAAGGCTGAGAAGTGACAGTTGCCCCGAGTATGCTGCTGAACACAGCATAAATGTAACCTACACGAGGACTTGAATGGCCACCCTGTTCGGAGCACACTTTCCTCTGTTCTCCATGCAACTTGAGGCAGAAACGAGCTTATGCCAACACTCCTACCACCCTGGAGAGAACTGTGTCCTTGAGAACCTAGGGGCAGTGGGCAAGACGGCCAGAAGCAACAGACAGCTACACTCTGCCCTTATAAATGTTCAGAGACTGTCGGGCTTGATCCTCTCTCCTCCGCAGTCCTACAAGCTCTGTTGTAAACAGCAGCAGTCCCTCGCCTCCATGCCACCTCTTGCCCCTCTGTTGCAGAGGGCAGCATCCCATCCCGAAACGCCACCCTGGCGCACGTGCTCTAGCACCTTTGGTTCCCTCAGTTCTTCGAAGGCTGGGCAGGGCACAGCAGCCATCTGTACTTGAGACTGAGAGACAGGCTGGACGTCTGCATCCCAGTGCCCTTCTGCACTCAGGCAGCTGTGTAGATGCTCCACCTCGGCGCAGCTCTCTGGATAAGGGTAATCCAAACTGTCAGATTTCTCACTAATGAATTACAAATTCCTTTGAAACATCCTGGGAAGATGCTTGAAAGGAGGAAACCAGTTGAAATTTTAAGTCATATTCCCTTACGCTGATCAGCACAAGTAGCATGTTGCAAAAGTACTCTTGATCAAAAGCGCCTATTTATAATCTAAGTAATGGCGAGTGACAGCCTAAAATATGGCATTGTTTTCTACAAAGTATCAGCCAGACACTGGGAAAATAATTAAATTAGAAGTCTACAACACAGATGCTCCTGGAAGAACAACCAAAAATAATCACTCTTTGCAGCACTAGATGAGTATGTGGCCATTGCACAGAAAGGGTAAATACTTCTGCTTATACTATGCATCCTGCAGAATTACGGGCAGAAGCCAGATCCAGTGTCCTGCTCATGTTGGGCAGTTATGCCCAATCTCAGGAAAATCTGTCTTTAGAAACAAACTTGCTACTTACTGCCTGGAAGCAGGCATTTTAATGGCTGACAGTGAAGAACATGTTACATCTATACGATAATATTTCATTATGGGCTGAATGCATTTGGACATCAATATATGGTGCACTTCATATGCAAAAGTGATTATAAAACATAAATTAAAAAAAAAAGGAGGAACAACAGTGACAACAGCGTTTTACAGGCTATTTACATGTGCATCTTATTTTCCTTACAACCTTAGCAATATCTAACTACTTTGCTTTTTTTACTGCAAAAGGCACAGAGAAAAAGTTCATGAAAAGCACAAACTCCAAAGGCAAGAAATACCAAAACCTGTATTTTCCCATCCCATATACAAAGCATATTATCAGTTCTAATTTCCTACCAGGAGCATGATGGCATTTTCATCACACGCCTGAAGTCCAAGTGAAGTCCAAGAAGCGAAGTATATTTCCCAGCATACTTGTAATGACTAAAGGACAGAACTTTTTTTCCCTTACTATATAAAACAAAAAAAATTTGCTTTACAATTCTTCATTACAATTGTTCATATCAGAAGAAAGAATGCTTACTGCTGTTCTTATTCCATACTGTCCTGATTGATGTGAAAGGAACAAGGACTGATGGCCATAATCTTTTGTGTGGTACTGTTTGACAATAAATGCAAATTATATGAGAACTTAACAAAAGAAGACAAAATCAATTGAGAGTTAAAGGGCAGAACGCTGACTGCATAGAGGCTGAAAAGACGACTAGGGATGTGGGTGAAGGCATGGAGAGTTGAATAAACTTTACGTGTGTGTACATGGAAAATGAGAGGAAGGGTTTGGGGGAAGGGCGAAAGATGGCTGAGGAAACACAGGGCAAAAAGAAGACTAGGTTTTACTGCAGACCTGCATGTTGCACAGCTAATATCTTAGTTAAGGACAGGAGGATTATTGGGAAAACAGGGCAGTTTATACAAGGCTTTCTCTGTGCAAAGATGGTCCTGAGAAGAAAGTGGCACATGCTGCCTTTTTGGCACATGAACGGACACCTGAATACGGAGACACCCTAGACACCAAGAGAAAGGGAACAGTGTGGGGGGGGAGTGGGAACTGTAGGGACGCCTGGATGCTGGATGGGAAAAGAGAGTTAGTTCTACATTGTATTGTATGATTATCTCTTCTTATTGCTGCCACCATCACCTGCCAGCTCTCTCTAAATCCTCTTTTCTTAACTGTATACCTGTATCAAGTCCGGCCAAAAATGCTGGCTCACTTTTCCTTTTTTCCCCACATCCTCTGCAGAGTCAGTCTACTACCTCAGTAAAATAAACATAACAATATGGGTCTTGGTGTAAAAACCTAACGATTTAGAGATTTAAGAAAAGCTCTCAAAAGCACTGGACCATAAGCAAGAGCAACATTTGGTTACTTGGACAGATATTTTAAACTTGTGACTTGAAATTTTACTCTCCAAGACTTGTTCTGTTGTACTAACTGGAGTTTGCTGGGTCATGCGAAGGAAAGGCCCTTCCTAAAGTGGAAGTAACAGAAACTTGAGCCATCCTCATCCCATTGCAGAAAATGAGTAATTTAGGAGTACTCTAAATGTACCTTGTAAACTGAAGTGCCTCCGACAATCCAAACCATGTCTACTTTACTTTTTAATTCGGGTGAATCCAAAAGAGCTAAAGCATCATCCAGACTTTTGGAAAGATAATGTGCTCCTTTTGGGGTTTCCCTAGAAAAAACAAAAAGTTTTATTACCAAATAATTAAAGGACCATTCATCATGATAATCAATACAATCTAGACATAGACTGTGTGTTGCTGAATTCACAAATGACTAAATGTTTTACATTAGTTAATTATTTCGAAATGCCAATTATTGATAAACTATGTTAGAATTCTCACCTGACTGCAGGATTGTTTAATAAAACACACTTTAATAGTGACTTAAGAGACATTATAAATTACCAATCTGAAACTTTATACCATGTTTTTAAACAAGGTAACTGAGATTAGATACCTATAAAATGAAATATAGATTTCTACTTGAATTCTAGAACATTAATATTTCATTCAATAGAACTAGTCAAAAGCCCCTGACCGCTGTTCCCCCCCCGCGTTCAGCACAAAACCCACCAACATCCTCCAAAGCCATAGACCATTACAAGTGGACATTTCTCTTTAAGAATATTTGGATGACTGTGGGTGATGCATTCAAGAAAAGAGCTCTGAAAAAGGACAGTTCTTTTTCTTTAAATGCTAATAAAAGTAAACTTCAAAAAGGAGAATAAGAGCCACCAATTTAACCGGGAACTAGAGAAATACAGTTAAATACATGAGTCAGAAACACGACTGACAATTGTCAGATGGTTTGTGTGTAGAGCTAGGACTTGTATTTATTATGCAAAGTAATGACAATTATCTTGTGAATTAATTAAAAAATAATAGCAATGAAAATAATAATTAAAAAAAAAAGGTAAAGTAGCGCTATCACTCAGAACCAATAGCAGAGATGCTTCCTAACCAGATATCAAAAATGTTACATTTAGAATTACTTTAGATTGTATTGCTACACATATTTTTAGGTGCAGACCTGTTATTTGTTTTACAGGTCTGTTAATCATCATACATACTTGAGCTCCCGGCTAAGCACTATATTAATTCTGTCTTTTAAAGGACGATTCTTCTCAGGAATGGAGAACCAGGTTCTTTTACCCATTATCAGTGCATTCTGTTTACCTGAGTAAGAGAGAAAACACTTATTTAAGGGGTATTCTTGCTCAGTCCCAATTTGTTTTGGATGTTCAGTGGCACTGCTGGACTTTCCTTCCCCCTCCCAAACTCCATTTCAGCAGTTAACAAAAGTACAAGCTTAGGCCATGATTCTCACGCATAAAAGAAGATGTTTGTAGCCTCAAAGCCTTGGCAGGCAGTTGACACAAAAGTAGTCTCATGCACACCTATAAGCTTATAATTGAAAAGAAAATCAAAAGAGGCATGTCACTGCCCATTACATGCATTACACAGACATTGGCTCCACTACCGTGATGGGGGCCAAATCAATCTTCTGAAAAGAGTTCTCTTAGTATGAGAAAACGTCATTGTTCTCTGTATAAATCCAAACAGCATACAGTAATCGACTTTGTGTCTGCGTGTTCTATCATTCCAGTTATATGATCAGGAATAATTGTCAGCTTTGAGTGTTATTTAAAAAAAAAAAAAAAAAAAGACAGGTAAAAGGGGAAGAACCAGCCAAATTAAATCCAAAGCAGAAGTGCAACAGATGTTCAATCATATTCTAGAATTCACCCGTAAGTATCATTTCTGACCAAACCCAAACATTCATAACCTGATTATCTCTTATATACGTCCTGCTGCGAAGAGGGTTTCTCTTTATGAGCAAATGGAATTTTCAGAGAAATAAACAGAGGTTGAGGCTCATAAAATGTAACAGGAAGTTTTTTACAGTGTTACACAGCAGGAGAGATTTTAGAGAAAAGAAAATAGTATTTGTTCACAGCTATTCTCCCTGCTTCTTGATCTGAGAGGCTGGGTCTACTAGATCACACCAGAGAACTGATGCTGCATTTGTTTATTGACAGTGTCTAAAGACCTTTCTCATGAGACATACTGCAGTGTCAGTTTAGATATGTTAGCACAGACCACTGGCACCACCGCTGAAGGAAGTGGACAAGTTCTGAAAAATATATGTATTTTCTTAGTAAAGATTCACACTGGGCTGTCTATGGGGTCAGACCAAAGATATATCTAGACCAATAGCTAATTTACAGCAGTGGCTAGTACAGGTATGCAAGCAGACTAAAAGCAAGATTAGGTGATGGTTCTCCATTGTATTCTTCCCACTCTCAAAAATCAGTGACTCTCTGACTTTTTTTAGCCAATGGGGATATCCTTGCTGTGAAGATTTACAGCAGCATAATGCATTAAGGGGTCTGGTTATGAAGCAACTTACTGCCTAGCATCTAAGGCCATAGTTTATCAAAAGGTTTGTAGGTAAGATGGAGCAAAATTTTCGTCTTAATTATATTTAAAACACCTATTTTTGATTACAGGTTATTGTGCCATGTAAGCTGCAAATTGCAGACATATAAAAAGATTTACATTTGCGTTCTGTCTTTTTTGTACATAAGGTTGCAATGGGCTGAATCAGGTCTACAAAACACAAGTAATATCCTTCACCTAAGACTGTTGGAAAAACGAGATTAAACATTCCTTGTGGAATATGGAATAGGTCACTCAATCAAAACAAGGGCATACTTGTTTTAGCAAACAAGTGAGTTTTGCTAGACACCAGTTTTAAAAGGAGCATGAAAAGAAAACACAGGAAAGAGAGTGACCACGTTGGCAAAGAGAAGCAACAGAAACGTGAGGATAAACCTGTTGTCTCTCATGGCTCTGATGCCAACAGGCGCAGTGAGCTGGCTGCATGGCTCAGGGAGGTCCTACTCCTCCTCTCCCCAAGGACTCCTTCCTGCTCCGACCATGCACCTTGTGCTGGCAGTCCCCGCAGACACCCAGCAGTGGGCTAGTCTACTGGGTTAAAGAATTAAAACAGCTTAAGGAAATGTCAAACCAGCACTGAAGTCAGTGTGAAGAAGGAATGGGGGAACACAGCAAGACTTGTCTATTCTAGCAGAGGTATGTACAGTCAGAACAAATTAGCTGTTTTCGTCTTAGCTTTCCTATCCCAGTCTGTGCTGATTTTCACAATTTTTCTCACCCCGCAATAACTGCTTTTATCTCACCATATCAACAGAGTCAATGAGATCTGCTGCAAAGGTCTTGCTGGGCCTGAACGTTATTGCTGCATATTACCTGTACGGCTGCATGTCACTGGGTATGGATATACTGCGTACGGCTGAAGTGTTGTTGTTGCATGTTATCAGTACGGTTGGGGGTTTCTGGTGTATTGGGATGGCTCTGCACTCAGAACATCAAGCAGAATCACTGTCACGAGGGTCACAGGGGTGGAACAAATGGCCAAGGCTGAGCTACAGCAAACAAGTTAGATAAGCAAATACAGCCTGAAAAAAACGCTCAGCTAATTAATCAGCATATAAAAACCTTTAAGTTTTTAATTTGGGTTGGAGTTGTAGGTAAAGACAGGTAAGCGAAGTTTTCTACTCTGTTGGGGAAAGAGGACTTTGAAATTCTGTTTATTCACAAACCACCTGCAGCCCAGAAACCTCTGATCCACCTCCAGTTTCTTTATCTAACTGAAAAAAAACCTGCAGATGATGTATTTACGAACGAGTAAAACCCTTGTGAGGGTTGGGAGGGAGGGGGAAGGGCAGCCTGTTTGCAGAAGCGGGACTTTTAAGTCAGGGAAAAGTAAAATTACCACACTCTTCCATGATCGATACCTCACAAACCGGTATTAGTAAGTGGGGGCACACCTCAGCGACCACTACGTTACCTTCCACGTGGGATGTGCTTGTCATTCTCTGGAAGTACTTGTACTCATTCCTGGCAAGAAGACAGTAAGAGCATTACAACGTGGTTTAGGAATAAGTTACGTTTCTGTAATTGGAAAAAAAAAAACACCAAACCCACAAACCCAGAAACGTAACAGAAGTGCCGCCGCCGCCGGGGGAGGAGAGGCGGGACGGGGCCCGGCCCGGTGCCGTGCCTGAAGCGAGACCTTTGGCCCCGGGTCTGTCGGCAGCAGAGATAACCC